TACTTTATAATGTATAAATTACGATGTAAATCAATTGTGTAACGTGTTTCTATTTTTAGGTACGTTCCCTCCTGTTGGTGATCCGGAACAGTAAAATTTTATGCATTCCGATTGGCCATTTCCTTTTTAAGGGTTTGTATTACTCGCGCAAATAAGTGCCCCCTATGTTCTTTAACCGATACTTGCATTATCCCATTATTTGTGTTATTAACACATTGTTCGCATATTGTTCTTACACTGAAATTTAGCGTTGTGGATAATGTAGTTCCGCGGGTTATGTGTGGGTTGTTTCTCTTTTCGATCACGTGTCTACATCACTTCGCAAGAAAGAAATAGATTCCGGACAGTAAGACGATTTTTAAACAAACCAATATTTAACAATTATATATTAATTAATAAAAAAATACAATACAATACAATTATATTGTCAAAATATAACTAAAATCTAACATTAATATATTATTATATTTAAGAAATCTCTAAAGTATAGTATTTTTTTTGTTTTTATACTGCGAATTAGACGTGAACAAACTTATACAACTCTCAGAGATATATTATTAAATAAAGTTATAAGAATTTTTGTTCAAGACTTCTCTTATAGCTTTAGCCATTTTTTCACCAACTATCATATGTTCAACTTGACTAACCCTTGAACCTTTAACCAAACTAGTTTCTCTCATAACCTGTTCAAATTCTTCAAATTCATCTTCTTCCATAAGATTAACATTGTCACTTCGAATCTCTCGAAGGTGCATTAAGTTTGAAACATTACTTGGTGCCCACAAATAATCGCATAAATGTTTTTGTTCTATTGGTAATAATATTTCTTTTAATAATATTGTTAAAGGTTCGTCTAGTGATTCATGAAGTACTATCGGTTGTGATGAAAGTTCTTCTCCTAATCTGTTTCTTTGATTAGATGTATTATGTAACATATGAAAATGTGAATGTTCGATTTTAATAACGTTTAGCATACGAAGAGCATAATCTAAACATTCTTTTGATGAGATAAGTTTCACTTTTCCAAGTTGATTAATTGATTCAAAGATTGAAATAAAGTGTTCTAAAAATGGAAAACATCTGTTATCTTCTCTAGCTTCTAAAGGAAGCTTTGCACATGATCGTCTTGATGATATGGAATAAGTTTCGAATCTTGATATCCACGTATCAAGAGTTTGAACATTATTAAAGTCTGTCGGTATTGATGTCGGTATCGTTGGAAAAGGAAATATCGAGGGTGATGTTAATGATGGTAATGGTTGCATTAGCACTGGTGAAAATGATGGTGATGCTGATAATGGTGGTGATGGTAACGAGTTATTAATACTAAGTTGGTGTGATGTAGGATTTACATTTTCATATTGAGTTCCTAGGGATGTTGAAGAAGCCTTTATGGATGCCAAAGAAGTATTTAGGGATGTTGAAGAATCTTTTAAGGATATTGATGAAACTTTTAGAGATATTGATGAGTTGGTAGATGTCGAGGTTGATGTATCACTATCTGATTTTAACAAGGGCGCTAATAATGTCTGTTCGGATTCACCAGTTTTCGCTATTCGACGTGTAGCTTTTGGACGATTTTCGCGTCGCATTGATCGTCGTGGTAAAGTAGGAGCTTTTTTACTAGAACTCTTTGTTAAACTTGGAGCTCTTTGTAGTGAAGTATCCGAAAATAATTCCGTCAGTGAATTATTTACAAGATCAACTTGGTGAGTAAATTTTTCATGTAATCTCGGATATGCATCTATTAATTTCTTCATCATTTCCTTATTTCTATCTCGACTACATTTTCGTACCAACCATTTCCAACAAGCTTCGATTCCTTCGTGAAATCCAATTTCCCAGCAAACAGACAAACATCCGACTCCTTTTGCTAGATTATTTGCTAATTCTGAGTCCCATTTTTTTGTATACATTAATTTTAATGTACAATAAAAATTAACCATATCTTCTTCGTTAACTCGATATGGCAATTTAACAATGATCTGTTTTTCTTTTCTCATGTTAGATTTTGGTAACGATGAGATGTTTGACGACGTTTGTGAAAGTTGTTCTTTAAAGAATTGTGATTGAAACAAGACTATAGAATGCAATCGAAGCTCCGAAGGTATTCCCGCACGAATGGCCAAACCTTCTCGATCTTCGAACGATAATCTAACATCACTAAACATTTTCCCATTGTCCCAAAGTAACTCTCCTACACTTGGATAATTGCTAATAGTAGTCTTTTGACTCTGTGAATGTTTTCGTTTAATACTCCCCGTTTTTTTAGGTGACATGGGACTTAAAGTATTGGTATAAGCGGAAAATGTTGTTGAATTTGAAACTTTAACATTATCAGCTTCCGGTTTAGTTGGAAATTCCATGTCGATATCGGATATCATGTTTAGCCTATGACTTTCTTCCCTTGTAACTGATAACTTGTAAGGTATCTTTTTTTAATATCCTTGTACAAACTATATACCCTTCAATATATTATTTACTAGTTGTTTTTCGTAATGATTTGATAGATAACGGTTTTTTTATGACTTTTGAGTCCTTTTTTTCAAAAAAAAACTCTTTCTCTTAACTCAATAAAACTCATAAAATTTTTTTTTTTTGAAAAATAAAAGACAACCTAAAAAGATTGCTATTGTTTACATATATGTTTTATATTATGTATGTATTTTAAGTTTTCGGTATACGTATAAAAGCCGCTTTTCTGCAAATGATCGAGTTAAAAGGAAAATTTATTTTCTAATAATATATTGATGTTAATAGATTGTCTTGCGTTAAGGATCTTTTTAAAAGAGAAGTAAGATAGGAAGAATAAGGGGGGAAGGGGAGAAAACTGAATAAAAGAATGTAAGTTTGTATATTGATTAATCTTTTCGGAAAAAGAACTTTGCAATACCAATGAATCGATATTTCTTTTCGAAAACAAATATTTATGTGTTTTTTTTTCTTTTTGCAACTAATAAAAATCAGTTACACAAGAACCTTACTCCTGCTTTTTTGTTAACATTCTAAGCGCTGTGATG